GCCTTCCGTGCCCTCCCCACCTCTGATGATCCCGCCACCCAACCATGGGAGAGAGAGGAGGAAGGCCTCTCCTCACCGCCACCTTTCGCTCCCTACCCGCCTCTGATGTCCCCTCCACCTTGACCATAGGAGAGAGAAAGAAGGGAGGCCGCTCCTCGCCGTGGCCTTCATACCCACCTCGAGCATGGGCGAGGGACGCATGGACCTCATCCACCACCACGAGCCTCTCGTTGAGCCTACAAACATGGGGGAGCTGGACTCGGAGCTCTAGTGATAGGAGAAAGAGATGAGAGGGAGGTAGGGAGAGAAGAGGGGAGGAGGTGCTGGTGCCCTTCCCAGCTTTGGTTCGCCGTTACTGCAGCCACCCTCCTAGGTCTCAGCCTCTCTGTTGTGAAAGAGGGAAGAGAAAATGGAGAGGGAGGGGGGATGGGGAAGAAGATGGGAAGGGAGACTTACATGTGAGCCCCATTGTCCTTTTTTTATTTTCTTTCCTGATTATAGTGCCACGCGGACACCACATATGATAAAGACTATGTTAACACGCGCCACGTAGAACAAAACCGCTGTCCAAAGCACCTGAGGAGGCAAAATGAACCGGTATTGATAGTTAGGGGAGTTGCTATATCCGTTTTTTGCGGTTGAGGAATATGAAATAGATCCGAGCTATATTTGAGGGAGTCAATTTGGACATTTTCCTTTATGTGGCTCGCATTTAGCGTGCGCAGGGTCCACTGTGTGTACGACGGAATCATGCGCTGACCTAGGGATGCACGTGGACTAGGTTGACCTAGCCCAGGAAATATGGGGCCAAAATCATATGGTTTACCCATCAAATTTCATGGGTCAGCATAGATCGACCCACCACGGCCCATGGTATGTGGGTCGACCCACCTGCATCCGCTCCACTCAGTCGTGTGAAACTATGTTGATATTTCTTAACGACATTATTAGAAATATAAGTTACCAACAATGGCGCTAGAAATGGTCCTGGTATATATATGGTTACAGAAGGAATCCGCAAGCGCACGGATATACCATTGTAGCATTTCGCCTGAGAGTATTCCAAGGTATCGTATTTATTTAATTCCAAGGGAGGATTGTAACAGAGAACTATGCTAATAATGTATATATGCCACTTGTATGATCAGAGCCTAAGCAGGGGTTAATATATTTATAAAGGGTAGAGTGACACGAAGCAAAGAACTCATATCTCTCATTAATCAATCCTAAACTATGTGGAAGAAGAAATAAAAAAGCAATCATTTCCTATAATTCTAATATACACTCAATCTTAGTTTATATATGCTAGTATACTATCATGTAGCCAATACCCCTAATAGTGCCCTCCTGGTGTTTCGAGAGACCACCCCCGGTTGCCGAGTTCCTTACGACAACCTGTTATGGCCGACCAACCGGAGCTAAATACGGAGGAGTACCCTCCCTAGGAATGTTTCTTAGGAATATATACTATCGTGGAGGAATACCCGTACTGAGCTGTCACCATCAGCGTCCCACCTCGACTGACCTGTAGCATATATGCCCAGATAATGATACTTGATAATCTAGACACCGCGTCTACATTATCAAATACTACTCTACATCCCCCGAGATGACATAGAGCAGCCGAATAATCGGAGACTAAACCCACACCACTGCATCTCTCTAGTAGGCTAACTACATGACTGTACCGATACAAATATAAAGCAAAGCCGATACTCAGATAAACTAAAGTACCGAGAGTATATAAAGAATAACATTTCATTACTTTCGAAAGTCTTACAAAAGAAATAAGAAAAGCTACTAGAGCCATACCCGAATTCCTCCGAAGACTCTAAGGACTCCATGAGCTATTCTATTCTACTCCACTTAGCACTAGGATACTAAACTAAAGTGTAGAGAGATATCTTGAGTTTGCTTGAGTGTGTGAAGGAGTGGAGGAGGTGAAGGCCTTTTATAGCTGATGAAATGACTATTATGACGGTTGGAAAGGTCGGTAATACCCTCCAACCGCCATTAGGAGTGAATCTCCACCGTCCATCCGAAGCCCTGTATCAAACGGCGCCGAGGGGGGTTCGGTCAAACCCATGGTTCGGCCGAACCATGGGTTGGGCCAACCTGGCCCATTTTCGACAGACTTACTCCTCAACTGCTTCTCAGTCCAGAACAGTGAATTATGGGCCCATTTAATCTTGTCATTTCTGAGTTGCCGGCCCATTTATCCACAAGTCTGATTCTCGACAGCGTCTGACTAATTCTTCGAGTGTTTTGCTGTCGATTCTCCTCCATATTATGTATCTTTCTCTACAAACAAATAGAATCCAAGTACAAGAAGAAATAGATTATTCTAAAACAAATATGCATTGCAAGCATAGCTAGTTCTCCTTTATTTTAGTTATATTGACTGTCGATATTGGTCTATAACGACCATCAACACACTAGCATAGAAATGCAGATGCTTGCTCGCAACTGTTGCCGTCGCAGCCTGCATCCACCTCATGCCCCTGCGCTGACACCGCCACCTTCGTCTCGCCCCTGCTCACCTCAACCTAGGGGCCCACATGTTAGCCTCTAGGAGAAGGTTGATGGAGAGAGGCAGTGGCTCTGGTTCAGCCGAACCAGGGTTTGGCTGCCCTCATCCCCACCCTCCACGTGACGCTTCCTCAGCCCTCCCTAATGACGGTCCTCGGTGAACCGACTTGGATAACTGCCTTAATCAACTGTCATTGGAGGCTATAAAAGGAGAAGAATGTCACACTCTCAACACACTAATCAAGAAGCAATCCCTCTATTTCTCATTTGTATTACTCTATAGATTAGTAGAGTTTAGGCTAAGAGTAGTTCTTCGGTTTCCTAGTCTTCTCAAATGGGTATGTTTTTAGTACTTTTCTCTCATTGTAAGACTTTGAGCATAGTAATGAAATTATCTTCTTTATTTATCGGTGTTTATAGTTCATATACTGCTTTGGCAATTATATGTTCTATGAGTAGTTTTTACTTTTTTGGTATGCTTTACATGTGTAGGCTAGTCGATATATGTCACGATATCGGTCCAATAATCTTAACGGATTGCACTAGTTCTTACTTGTCTATCCGAAAAGTGGGAGTCTTAGGAAAAGTAATAGTATTATTTAGCAATGTAAGCATGGTGCTTAGGTTGATTAAATGTCATTGGATGTGGGTGTGCTCCACGGGTTGTAGAGGTAGGCGACAGGTGGTGATAAACGTTGTATGCCCTTTGTAATCATCTACGTTCAGGTTTGACGTAAGAGTTCGTAAAATGTCGTAACCACGTTGGCAGACCAGTATAGGGAGTGCTCTCTCTCTCGGTAGTGTCTGGATGCATAGAACTAAGTCATAACTTGTAACTTGTACATGTATGTGTTTGTTTGAGTATAATCGAAGCATCCTAAATATATAAGTATATAAACGAAACCATAGCTCTCTTTTGTCTTTCTCCTCAATCAAGTTTATCTTTATTGAGATTATTCTTCTATGTCACACTACCTATGCGTGAAACTACGTGTGCATGTCACACACCAAGTGGTCAACCATGGGAGGACCTAATTGCCTTGTACTTTCATGCATGACGAAGGTGATGGTCGAGGATTTGCTGCATGGGCCATGGAATTGCACTAGCCAGATGTAGTTAGGTGCCTGACAGGAGCAACAGTGTCACCACACCGGCCTCCGCTCACTCTGCTTTGCACGCTGACATCAATGCCTGAACTGCTGGTCGGTGGTCAAGACCGCCAATTGATCCCTAGCTAGCGAATGTGCCTACCTTGGTGTCATCGCTGGCGCCGTAGTTCTTGACATTGAACGTTGGGTTACCGTGGTACATCGCCTTAGCCAATGTCGACGACATGTTGGTGGCGGAATATAGCGTAGCAGCAACGATGACGACCAACCGTTGCTGCGTCTCCATATTCATAGCTAGCCCTCTCCACAGCTCACATCTGTGCGGCGGACATGAGAGAGAAATTAGGGGATCGATGGGGTTTCCAAAAATGAAGACGTGTTTCCGTCTTTGAGCGATGGGGATGTGTGATGGAGTAGCCATAGTCAATGCGATCTTAGGTGCAAGCGCGATTTGGCGGGGACAGAATCATGGATAAGTTGTGTGCAGTGGCTGATGGGAGGAGGGAATGATCCAGAGCGTTGTACCTGGTGTTGGTGTGAATAATATTGGGCGTTGGATTTGATGAATGAAGTATTTAGTAGTAGAAGGACTTGAGTTGGCCAACTATCCGGTAATAAATACTACCTCTGTTATATAATAGATGACGCTGTTGACTTTTTGTCATATTTTTGACCATTCGTTTTATTAAAAAAATTACGTAATTATAATTATTTTATTGTGAGTTGTTTTATTACTCAAAGTATTTAAGTATCATTTATATTTTATACATTTGAATAAAACTTTTGAATAAGACAAATGGTCAAACATGTGTTCAAAATTCAACGCGTCATCTATTAAAAAAAGAATGTATGGGACTACCTATACATTTGTCGACAAATTTTTCCCTAAAAATTTGACAGATGTAATTATAGTACAATCGTAGTGTAATTACACTGTAACTTATATGTAATTACACTGTAACTTGCATGTAACTACAGTGTAACTTATATGTAAGTTTCACATAATTTTGAATCGTTGGATCTATTACAAGATTTGTTTTGGTGAGGAAGAAAACAAATCATAGCACACACATATGTGAAAGAATTTGTTCCCACGACCTCCATTTTACCGAAATAACATGTAACGGAGAGATTTTTGAAAGTTACATACAAGTTACACTATAGTTACAGTGTAATTACATGCAAGTTACAGTGTAATTACAGTACGATTGTACTGTAATTACATCTGTCAAATTTTGGGGGAAAAATTTGTCGACAAATATATAGCAAAATCGAACCAGAAATAACAAAACGAGCAAAAAGAAGGAAAACAACTTCCTTCCTTCCCTCCTCCCTCCCTTCTCCAACCTGAAGACCTGACCGCCAGATCTGACACCTCAAGCTTTGGCTCGCTTCGCTTCCTTTTCCGGCCTCCCAGATCCCGATCTCTCCCTCCCCATGCCTCCTCCTCCTCCTCCTCCTCGCCTCCCCTAACCCCCGCCGCCGCCGCGCGCCATGGCCTCGCGGCCTCCGCTCCGCACCACCTCCGCCTCCTCCTCCACCCTCTCCACCGACTCCCCCACCTCCGCTCCCCCCGGCGGCGTCCCGCAGTCCATCACCGCGCTCCTCAACAACCCTCTCCCCTCCGCCTCCTCCTCCTCCTACTACTGGCTCACCTGGCCCCCTCCCACCCCGCTCCCCGACGCGCCCCCGCCGCCGCCGCCCCACCCCTGCGACGTCTCCCGCGCCGACTTCGCCCCCTACCTCGCCGCCGTCGCCGACCCCTTCGGCCGCTTCGCTGATATCCGGCTCCACGCCTCCGCGGAGGAGCTCGCGGAGTCCCAGGACGGCGCCGCCGCCGGCCCCGCGGCCTCCGGCCTCGCCGCCTGCCTCCGCGAGGTCCCCGCGCTCTTCTTCAAGGAGGACTTCGCGCTCGAGGACGGGGCCACGTTCAAGGCCGCCTGCCCGCTCGGCGACGCCGCGCTGCAGGAGCGCCTCGGCCAGCACCTCGACGTCGTCGAGGCGCACCTCGTGCGGGAGATCGCGCGCCGCTCCGAGTCCTTCTACGAGGCGCAGGGCCGGCTGCGGGGGCTGGACGGGGAGATCGTCGCCGCGGTCGGGAGGATCCGGGAGCTCAGGGAGGTGGTCCGGGTGCTCACCGGCGATCTCGTGGGTGCCGCGCGCCAGGTGCAGGAGCTCAATGCGACGCGGGGTAACCTCGTCGCGCTGCAGCAGAAGCTCACCGTCATCCTCTACGTCAGCCAGGCGCTCGCTGCTCTAAAGCTGGTGAGTGGGCAAACTGAGCATTGCGAAACAAGATATCTCCCGCATTGCATTTTCTCTGCTGATCAGCAATGTGAATGATTCCCTGAACTGGTTGGGAACTAAGCTTAGCTCAGTGATGTGCTAATCTCTTATTAATACCCAAGGCGTGTGCTTTTGCTGGCATTTCCCTCACTTTTCTTTGAGTCAGTTGGCAATTTGGTTAGTGCGAGAATGAGAAGTACGATAGACAATAAAACTGCATGCACACGCTGTTTTCTTAGTTTGATAGTCTGATGCCATGCGTTATGGTTTGTTCACATTATTTTGTTCTCGGTGATTTATATGTTGATGAATAGTACTGTGCATGGAACGCCAGAAAAGTGCTAGGCTGTCTGTATCTCATTAATTTTCTGGCAACAATCTCGGTGGATTTAGATCTTCCTACCTTGGCTGCTCAATTATGAAGTGCCAATGTACCTTGACACGGAAAATGAAACTTGATGGTTCTGTATGAGAGTTCTAGATGAGTTACGACTTTAATTTGGAGGGCTTATAGACTAACACTAGGCAAGCATATACCTAAAAGCTCAAACAAACTCAATTATTAAGGGAACAAAACTTTGATATACTTAAGGTTTAGTTTATTGTGCTGAGTCCTGTAAGGCATGTAGGTTGACATGTGGGCCAAAAGATAGGCTAGTCATGGTACCCAAAGATAGGCTTGTGAGGCTGAAATGAAATTGTATGCGCCTTACTGGCTTCCATCTCTTCCATTGTCTCTCTATTCTTTGATGATCCTTCTAATTTCCTCTCTCTCGATACCTACATCCCTTTCCCAACCTCTGCTCAGTAGTGAAGCAGTGTCACAACAAAATTCAGTAAAGGAGAGGGGAGGACTAGAGGAGGATGTTAAGGGTTGAGATTCACAGACCAAACTTCAGAGGGTGTCTAACAAGGTGTTTGAGATTCAGTGCTTTATGCTGCCTATACCATTTATGTTGCAGCCTAGAGCAGGTTGGTGGGAGACTGTGAGGAGGACGTGCATCAGAAGTTCAGAGCATGAAGCAAAAGGATGCAGGAGGCTTCGCTAGTTCAATTCTTCACAATGTACTCCATGGAGTGATGGAAGATGGAAGGGAGAGAGGACAGGACAGTTGCTGGGACCAAGGAGTTAGGAAGAGGAGGCAGCTCTAGACACCATGATATGCGAGGAGGATCCACACAGTCGGGCTGAGTGGAGGTGATGCGCTGAGTGGAGTGTGCCTGCTTGCAGTTGGGAATAGTTGGGATTGGTTCTTGTATTTGGGTACGCTGTTGCGATGCTCTGCTCATGAGCTTCTATTATAGGGGTATTGCACCAGGAGAGATTGGGAAGTATTGGAGCTTTACTTATTTATTTTTTAAAACTGTAATTAATGGTACTCGCTTCGATCTGTGTCCAGATACCAATTTGGCTCTTCACTTGACATTCTAGACTGGAATAAATGTTTTTTATACTAGATCTTTTAGTCATTGCGTTAAATCTTTTTCTTACATTTCAAGCCCTTTATTTTATCGATTCCTAATTCAGTGCTTTGATTTGTTAATCTTATATGTGCAGCTTGTGGCAGCTGCGGATTGTGCTGGTGCCCTTGACGTAATTGATGACCTGCAAAACTTGCTAGTAAGTTTCTTATACAACAAGACGCCAATGTTTCCTTTTGTATTCCTCTATGGCAGCTTTACCCTTCGTCAACCATCTTTTTTAACATTGTGAGGTCTAAAAGTAAAGACGTGCAGCTAAAAAGATAAAGTTAATTATCATACTTCTAATTCATTCCATGTCATCAAAGCTGAGATATACCCTACTATTATTAAATATATTACGTGGGTCTGTTGGACTGGGGATGCCCAAAAGTTAACTTCAATTGGCAATTTTAATATCTAATGCGTCGGTTTAGAATAATTTCTTAGTTAACCCAACAAAAGTGTTTAGCTTCTCTTTTCCCCTTCCCTAAAGTAAGTACTCTGGAGTACATGCATGCATTTTGGTAAAAATAGCAAGACTGTCAGAGAATTTGGCCTCATCTCTATTTGCTTGCTGATTGTCTGTCTCTATATAACCATGATATATTAATGGTATGGGATTACAACGTATCAAATTAGTTGATTGAAAGATGTGATTAACTTGTAAATACGCCTTTTTACTCCCATCTACTTGCTCATGTCTGCAGCATATGTAACTTGTATTGTTATGATAATGTTTTCCTTTTTTCAAACAGGATACTGATGAACTCACTGGGCTTTATTGCTTTCGAAATATTCGTGATCAGTTGGGGACATCACTAGATTCTGTCAACAGGTACTCTCTTAGAACTTGAGCATAGGTTCCTATGATATGAGCACACCTTTTAGATTTCAGGAGTATTAGCACAAAATATCTGATATTGAGATAAAAAGCCTTTTTGTGCATAGAAATAAATCATGAATCAGTGAATTGTGATCAAAAGCTCGTGGCATGTTGTAGCAATGTAGGTAAGCTGATCAATATAAAAAAGAAATAATTAGTGATTGTACTCAAATGGCATGTTTGTTGATACTGAAAATGTGCCTACACCCGGAGGGTAAATTTTAATGTCGTTATTAATCTTGGGCTATATCAGGATATTGATATTTTGTTTTTTTTTTCAATATTATGCCCATCAGTAACTTGCTGTTTGACTTGATAATATTCATTCTTGTAGCATTCTTTCAGCAGAATTTGTGCGGGCTGCTGTTCCTGATGGAAAAGCTGTAGACGCATTGATTCAAGCAAATGTGAAAAGAAAGGCTTCTGTCCCCCTTAATGGGACGGAGCATGAAGTATGTTTCAGTTCACAGTTTAATCTATCTCTTAATTGGCTTATATTTACTGGATTATATATGCCGATGCACTACTATCTGTTTATTCCATCGAAATTTCTACTAATCTGTATTTTCTATGTGTTGTCTGTTCACTGTTAACTTATTCTAGGTTGTCATTTGTTGTATCAGTGCATTCTCACTGAAATGTAAACTTTCACTACAACAAATGAACCAGAAAATTTGAACATTCCTGCTGTATAGAGTATTTTTTTATATAGCATAGTGAATGCTGTTCACTTTTTGGACCCTTCTGTTAGGTTGTTAAGAACAATGATTAATCATAAATTCATAATTGAACAATATCAATTTAGGGACTTGCCATATTGAGGCCAAATTGTCTGCTTTTAATGTTTGTTTTGTTGATGTTAAGGTTCAATGCATGATAGGAAAGCAATGTTATGCGGTAGGAAGTGATCATGAACTAATTACCATTTAATACTAATTTTGTCATGGCTATAGCTATTCATATTCTTGTGGCTACTTTGGCCATTTCTAGGCAAATTTTGTTCTTTTCCAATCTTTGAGTGAATTGCTCTGTAGCAAACACAGTTTAGCAGAATATGTAGTTATTTCGTAAATGTTTGACGCGTTTAATATTTTCATCAGATTGCATTAATACACCGTTTATGTTATTTCTTCCATTTGGTGTTCCATGCTTACAGTACTGTGGTACTTTAAGTAAAGGTTTTCATCACATTTTCTCTAATTTTCGGCATGTTCATTGGTTTACCGTAGGTAAACATAGATGAGGAAGAAAGCTTCATTCTCAGAGATCGGCTTCTCCCCCTCATTATTTGCCTACTGAGAACGGTTAGTTCTGTCATTTACTTTCATTAAATTGATATTGCAGCGTGCACAAATTGGATGCACAAATATATCTTTTTCAATACTGAATGCAAACAATGAGAGGTTTTAGAGTGATAAATATTCCCCAAACACCTTAAAGGCATGTTCATTGGTTTGTGTTGATGAATAAAAGCTTGTATTTTGGGCTTATTACTTGCATCCGCATGTCTAAGTAAGATGCTGTTTCAAACTTGTATTGGATAGAATATCAAGTTCCTTTTTTCGCAAAGGCTGATCTCCTGTGAGTATATTTGATTAGTAGCAGCATCATGTTTCTTTATTCCTGGATGTAACTTGCCTTTTTGAGGGTATATTAGTTAGCAGTCCATTTTTTTGGTGGAAACTAAATGGTATGGTTCATTTTTATATTTTGCAGGACAAACTTCCAGCGGTGCTAAGAATTTACCGTGACACACTAATTACTGTTATGAAAGCTTCAATTAAAGCCACAGTAGCTGAGCTGCTCCCAATTTTAGTTGCCAGGACAATAGATTCTGATTCAGTAACTGGAGACAGAGCTGCTGATTCTGATGGTGTCATGTTTTCTCCATTTATCACTATTTCTTTCCCATGCTATTTCTTCCACTAAAATTCTTACATAGTTTGAACTTCAATTTTTTCTTAACTGCAGCTGGAGGCCAGTCTTTAGCAAATAAGTTGCGGAGTCTATCGTCTGAAGGGTTTGTTCAGCTTTTATCGGCTATATTTAGGATAGTACAGGTAAAATGATTATAAGAATTCCATTTAACCTGTTCGAAGTGGAGGCCATGCATCAAATTTAATCTCAATGAGGATATACTTTTATAGTATTTGGTAGTGTAGATATTTTAGCCTTGCATTGATTTATTTGTTAGCTTTAGTTATCCACTTTTTGACTGCATTTATTGTATCAGCTTAATTGTTCTATGCAATTATTATCAGCATTAAAGGAGCCATGAAATTGGCGCAAGTCCCTTACTACATGCTCTGTATTTGCTGATTCTATTGGTTGGAGAACCAAATAAAACCAGAATAGATTGTGGAGTTAGCTATAGAAGTTATGTACTAGCATGTAGCATCCCAACTTCCAAGTCCAATTTCTCTTTAAAAAAACCTTCCAAGTCCAAATTGAATCAGTGCAACCAATTGGTTCGCCTTTGCCCGCCGCGGGGGGGGGGGGGGGGGGGGGCAGGTGGTGAACCTGCCTGTCCGCCGGTTCTGCTGGCTACCGTACTAGGGGTCTTCTTGAAGTCATCACCTATATTTGTATTTCTATTTTTGATAAAAGATATTTAGCAGTGGCTGGCTGGTTGCTTGAGGATGTGGGGAAAAGAGTTTTGAACATTGCTATGCTACATGTAACTAAATGAAAATAAGAGTTGTTAACTTTTAACTATAATTTCTTGTGCCTTTTCCCATCTGAAAACCATGTAGCATTGACCTAATATTTTTCAGCATGCTTGAAATGTTTCTTGTCTACTTAAATCATGTACAATTTCTGAAGATTTAAAGAAAAAACTTGAGGTAATCAGTATTCTTTTGTCAATTCAGGTACATCTAGTGCAAGCAGCTGAAGTTAAAAGAATAGTTGAATGGATCATGGGAAACCTCGAGGGGAGCTTAAGTTCTGATGCTTCAAATTCTGTACAAAAGCACAGTGGCTCGGTTTCTGATTTTTCCCAAGAAAATGACCACGGTGTCACTTCACGGGTGTCTAATACTCTTACCAGGAGTAATTCTAAGTTTCCCTTCTTTCAAGGAAAAACGAATGACATGTCCAGTACAAATTCAATAAAGAATGTCCGGTAAGTTAAGGTGCAACTAGTTATTAAATCTTGCATTCACATGGGCTAGATATCATATACATCCGCATCAAAACTCTATGGAAAAACATATTTGAACTTTTTTTTAGGTTTGGAATAAAAATATTTTTATGAATAGATCCAAAATTAAAAATTAGGAGCTACAAAAGTTATATATAGAATCCATCCGAATATAGTTTTTGTTACTTTCTGTTTTTCTGGTTATTCTGAAATTTGAAATTAATAATTACAAAATCGTACCTGACATGGACTTTTGTTGTAATCTGAACCACTGTAATTTCGTCCCACCTTGAAGAATGGCTAGATTTTATTTTTCACCTTTTTCTGATAAATGCGAAAAATACCTCAGTTTGCCTAAAAGAACCTCCCTTTGTCCCAAAATATAGCTAGTTCTAAAGTTTTTCACTTCTATATTTTGGGACACCCTTTTGTACTCTAGAAGTAGCTATAGTTTGGGACAAAAAATTGAATGCTAGAAGTAGCTATATTTTGGGATGGAGGGAGTAGATATGCTTTTTATGTTATGTTAGCTGATGTCATGGTAGTGCTGTGGACAGATTCAATACAAAATTAGAATATTGGGTCAAATTCTAGGCTTTACCTCTTTTATATCATAATTATATTTGACAACACAATTGCTCTCTAATATTTGCCTTTGGTACAGAGCTGATGTCTTGAGAGAAAACACAGAAGCTGTTTTTGCTGCATGTGATGCTGCCCATGGACGATGGGCTAAACTTCTTGGTGTTCGTGCTGCCCTTCACCCCAAATTAAGACTTCAGGAGTTCTTGATCATCTATAATGTAACAGAAGAATTTGTAGCTGCCACTGAAAAGGTTATTTCTTTTCCTGTTTGAAAAATATGCACAAACGCTCATTATGCTCATCACTGCATACATGCAAGTTATGACTTTATTGTATCTTCTTATTCCTGTAGATTGGAGGCAGGTTGGGTTACAACATCCGTGGAATTGTACAACAACAATCAAAGCAATTTGTTGACTATCAGCATACTGTCCGGGTGAGTGATAAAATTTGTTGACTATCAGCATTTGTTGAATTCTACAATGGTAAACAACTTGCATGAGTTTACTGATGATGAAAAATTAAAAGGCCATTCTTCAAATGTCATCTATAAGGAGAGAATAATATTAAATATAAGACTACAAAGCATCATTGTACACAAACTTCAATGGATAATTGTGCTATTTTGAAAGAATATAAATCACTCAACTTTATCCCTGACCCCTCAGTTATAGATATCCATCAAATTGAATATAATGCTGTACCTTTATTATGCTTTTTAATTGGAGAATATTACTTGCGGAAAGTGCATTTCACCATCAAATACCCTGAGTAAAATGGTAGTGCAAACGGAGAATGTAAGGCTTAAACAAGTACTTCCTCCGGTTCACAATGTAAGTCATTCTAGCATTTCCCACATTCATATTGAAAAATATGAATGTGGGAATTTCAATATGAATGTGGGAAATGCTAGAATGACTTACATTGTGAAACGGAGGGAGTACTACTCAACAATTGACACTATAGTTTGTGAAACAATTAACATTATTAGGTGTCACTGCTGCTTTTTTTTGCTACTCAACAATCATCATAAATACAAATTTCAAGGTTGTGCAAACAACTGTGATTTGGATTTCAGACTGATATGTACTTTGTCTGCAGTTGATGCACAACTTATAGTATTTTTGTGCACTAAAACTTCTAATATTCTTTTGAAGATGGCAAAAATCAAGGCAGTTCTTGACCAAGAGACATGGGTTGCTATTGATGTTCCAGAAGAGTTCCAAGCAATTGTTCTATCACTATCATCCACTTATTCCGTTGCTAATGGCATGGAGATGCCTAGCACTGATGACAGCTCAAAGCTCCATGAAAATCGGGTTACAAGTCAAGAACCAGTAAATTCAGCTGAAAATAATACTGATAATGGCAACGCAGTATCTACTTCTCCTTCGACTGAAAACAATGTTGGGCATGCTAGATCAACACAGCAAACCATTGTGCATGGGGGTGTAGGCTATCATATGGTAAACTGGTTAGTCATCTATATTTTCTACTTAATAGTTCAGGTCAAGTTGCATTCTCTTCTTGCGCACCTTGCAGTGTTGCAACGTGACACTTTTATTTCCCAACATTTTGATAGCTAGAGTCGTAAACCATCCCTCTATTGATTTGTGGTCAACCTTGTTTTATTTGTTGTGTCTTTTTGTTAACTTGTGTTCTCATTACGTGAGATTCTCAATTTAAATCATGTTCACCCTTGCAGTGGTTTGATATTGTTGAAGATGTTATCGGAATATGTTGACATCAGTAAATGCTTGCCATCATTATCTTTTGAGGTGGTCCAACGTGTTGTTGAAATATTGAAGCTCTTCAACACTAGGACGTGCCAACTGGTTCTTGGTGCAGGTGCCATGCAGGTAGTATAACTGTTACATGCAATTTGAGTCATTAAGTTGTTAACAGTATAAAGTCTTTTCTCTATATCTGTACTCATTTAAAAGGGAGTAGCGGTGGTGGTGAGTCTGCCACCACCCCCACCACCAACTCTATTTTTTTGTGAGAAGGAAGGACAATGTAAGGCTAGAGGACCCACATGTCAGTAACAAATATATCCAGAAATTTAGAGATATATGCAGAAAATTATGGTAATAACAGGTTAATGATAATTTTCTTTAATCAAAACTAGTTGAATGCCCGTGCATTGCAATGGGAATTAAATAAGAAAACCACACCGTACACTCTAAAGCCTCAAAAATTAAAATAAAACTACCCTCATTCTAAAATCTTAGGGTCATATATTTGTCATCATTTTCACCTCACTTCAAAAGAAGTTTTTCCTGTTTGATGGCTTGAGGTTAGGAAGGGACAAAAGTCCATCCACCTCACTGTTTGGGGGACCCACATGGTAGTGGTGGTGGGTGGTGGCAGATTTACCACTCACCACCACCATTGAGGTCTTTGAAAAGAGTATATAGATCCTGTTGTAACGCGAGGGCGATATGCTAGTTTTTTTACAACATATGTAAACACAACTCTCGTGTTTTCATGGGTATGTAACACGGGTTAAGGACACTAGAAGTTCTTATGGATCATCTGCTCACTTAGGCTGCATTCATTTCTGGAGATTGAGAGAGAAACCCATTCGTTTTCCACACCCACAATACTTTTTTGCAAAAATTTTCTATAGGAAAGTTGCTTTAAAAAATCATATTAATCCATTTTTGAAATTTAAAATAGTTAATACTCAACTCTCCTTGTGGGCAAGATTTTACCATCAGTTATGGGTTAGTGTGCTATCAAAAGCAAGATTTGCATGCTTTTATCAAATGCTAACCTTGCTTGGAAAAGCATATTGCCTTAGCTTTTAGATCCATGCACACCTTAAGGCTTGGCTGGGTGTCCTTGGACATAAGTGGTGCAGTGGCACCATGGAACCATCTGCGCCTAAGGCAGGGAGGGAGATGGGATTATGAGACTAATGAACTTCTGTTTGTTCTTGTTTGATTAAGATATAATGATGTCCTTTTAATAGGATAGCCTTAGGCTGGACATAGCACCTCGTTTACTGAATGCTGTACCTCATAGCGTACCATGTTTTTCCATTGTTTTGTGTAATCTTTATCTCCATTCTCGAATAGTATGAGTTGTTTATGCTCAATGAACAATTTGTATCACTTTGTTGCACAAAAAAACTATTTGTGCAATTTGTTCTACCTATATGGAAATGCTGTTGCAAACAGTTAATTATTCTGTTTGAACAATCGTACTTCAATGTCTGATTAGTTTAAATGCTTCTGATCCTGATCAATCTCGATAGCTGATTTTGTGTAGCTACTCAACTTGTTTTCCACTAGTTCGGATTGGTGAGTTATATTCTCCATTGTTTTGATTTTCAGGTGTCTGGTCTGAAATCAATTACGTCTAAGCATTTAGCTTTGGCAAGTCAGATAATCAGCTTTATATATTCTTTAATTCCAGGTAAGCACTGTTTTTTACTCTTCTATAAAGCATGATGTGATGGTACTCTGTCCTGGTGTTGGCTATGTCCATGTTTGCTCACTCAACATTTTCATCATACTGCAGATATCCGGCGTGTACTTTTCCTGAAAATACCCGAGGCACGCAAACAACTGTTAATGTCTGAACTGGATAGAGTGACTCAGGTATGATCATTAATTTACATACTAACATTTTGTTAGTTCAAGCAACTCATGAATGCTACTACTATCTTTTAGTTGTTTTTCTATCAATGCCATTTCTTACATGTTTCAAGGAATAACAGGATTACAAGATTCATCGAGATGAAATTCACACCAAGCTAGTCCAGATAATGAGAGAGAGATTACTAGCAAATCTGAGAAAATTACCGCAAATTGTGGAAAGTTGGAATGGGCCTGAAGATACTGATTTGCAGCCAAGTCAATTTGCCAAGTCTGTTACGAAGGTACATTGTTTAACTGTTATCGTTGTAAATAATGTTATCATATGGTTGCATATTTCTACTTGTATGTGGTTGTTTAAAGGGTTTTGCCATGATTTAAGTAAGTTAAGTTCACGTGTTGCTAGGTGAAAATAACACGTGGTTTATGGTCTTTTTGTTATGTGACCATTACTTTCATTTATCTCTTTGGTAGTTTGAATCCACGCAAGGGATATGTTTTTTCCAGGTTTCAGGTGTTTTAACTTATTTATGCTAACTGTTAAATTTTTTCACAAAAAAAACTATTGCAGGAAGTTAGTTACTTGCATCGCATCCTTTCTCAAACATTGCTTGAGGCAGATGTGCAATTGATATTCAGGTATTTTTTTTATACTTTTTACTACTGACTTTAGCTCCATGCTATCATTATAATCATTGCACCATTTTATATTTCAGATGAGTGATTTTTAGCTACAACATATGCAGGTCTTTACCTGTTTTAATTTCCAATTATAAGTAATAAATTCATTTAGGGCCCTGCTTGGAAGCCTGGTTTTGGGCCCAAACCAGTCTAAAATATTGGCTAGTAATTTTTTTGAGCTGAGCTGTAAATGAGTGCTTGGATGGGCTAGTTTTCGGATTAAAATACATGGGAGAAAGCTCATTACGACTGGAAAAAAAAAGCATTGCCCTGGAAATATGATGGAAGCTGGGCTCACTTAGTGTGTCCCAGCCGCCACTCTGACTCCCCACACTGATAATCATCTTAAGCTTGTCGTCTGCCCTGCTCTCCACCCTTCCCCATCCCAACATTCCTTCGCCCTCCTCCCTGCCGCCTAACATCTCTACCCGATCTCCCGCTGCTCTTACCTTGCTTTGTTCCTAGCTGATGGCTCCTGGGTATGCATCGAGCTTAGGATCCTGGATCTGCACAACAGCAGCCTCATTCTGCCTCACCACCACACCCATCGTGTAGGAGTCCAACGTGTTCCTTAATTCTGCAGCAACAGCAGCTACTGCGACACTGGAGACATGCTCTGGACCAAGGTGTGGAACCAGTTTTGGCCAGTGGATTTCGGTTGGAATTTGTTGCTGACTTTTACTGTTTTATTTTGATTATTGGTCTGCAATTCGATAATGTTCACTATTTACTCTTTCATGAATTGATTCTGAGTCCTAAATCCTCCTGCTATCTAATCTTCTTGATGATATGCACTTGATAGTGCAGTGGCAAGGAGTGTGTGGTTTCAACTTTGAGGTCCCGTGTTCAATCCCCAACACGCTCACAATTTCTTAAAAAAAAAAAAGTTTGGAGGGACGTCTCTCCTTCCAAATCTCATCTAATCTTCTTGATTTCCACATGCTTGTTAATATCCATAATCCAAATGGTCAGTATGCCAGGCATTTGTATTTCACTGGTAATGGTAATTATGGGTAACACGAAATTACTCTTGTATTTCAATCACAATATTATATAAAATACACAACTCCCAAGCAGGCCATATTTGTCATGAGTTATAGAACCAGCATCTGTATTTTTGACTTTTATGCTTGCCCTGAACAAGTTTTCATCTGTTCATATAATATGTTTATAATCTACTGTTTTGCTGCAAGGTAATATTGCGTGCCGCTGATTTCTTTCTACCCTCTTGTTCAATGCAGGCAAGTAGTTCAAATATTCCATTCACATATCACAGAAGCATTTTCGAAGTTAGAACTCAGTACACCTCAGGCAAAGAACAGGTACTCCTAAACTTGTTGCACTCTCTCCCACAGGGAGATGGAAAAAAAACTAAATTTGATTCTCCTTGTGAGCTGTGGGTGTTCTGTAACATTTATATTTGACCCGTTATTCAATGATTGATGAAACTCAGATTGTGCCGTGATGTCCAACATATTCTTGTATGCATTCGGAAGTTGCCTGCTGAGAACTTCAGTGCAGAAGCTATTCCGAATTATGGTCTTCTTGATGATTTCTTGGCTGAAAAGTTTGGGACAAAAGTTGATGAATGACTGACCTGTACATTAGGAACTGACTGTGTCTGCAAATGTTCAGTACTCATATGGTACATGGGAAGTACTCCAAGACATCGCCGTTATTGGCGTGAAATCCTGTGCAGGTAACAACTGGAACCAATCTGTTCTGACTTGTTGCCAGTCTTCATAGATGTCAACATCTAATCCTTTTTTTTCAACGGCATATGACTATATACTCCCTCCGTTTCATAATGTAAGACTTTCTAACATTATCCACATTAAATGAGGCATGTAATATTAAGTTTATTTGGTGCTGGCTTCGTCTCCCCAGAAGTCATGTTAAATAATGTATATCAAAGTTCATTTGTTCTATTCCATGTTTTTGAAACCCAGATAGAGAAATAGTGGTATTCTGGGAGAAACTAATTCTGTATGGGATGTTTCATAAAGGGTAGATTTTATACGAAACACTGATAACCAATTTTATAATGCAGGCATTGCTCCCCAGGATACAAGTACATAGCACTTAAATGACAGCGGAGTACAATGTCAATACTCCCAGTAATGCCGTGTGAAAATCATAGCAATGTTTTTGCCCTTTTCTGAGCTGAAATTGTTGCCCCATACTTTAACCATGCCAGGCTGCATTTCAATTTTTTAATTGTTCCATCCCTTTTTGGGGACCCGATATTTGTTACTAGAAGTTCGTATAGAGGGAACTGAGTTTTGGCATCACGATCTATTCATTGCAGCATGCTTCTTGCTGTGTAGGTCTGGTGTATTCAATATCCTGTCGTGATGGCAGCCCATGTATTTTGTTCATGTAAGGTTTTGTAATTAGTCTGATGAATGAGATAATAAGGTATTTTTAAATGTTAGAATAGGAAAAGATTCCAGCCATGCATGGATATATAACAGGAAATTGAAGATTACTACATATGTCCCTTTCTAATGTGATCTATGTATGTATGCATGTTCTTTTGTGAGTGATGTACTGTAATTGGTTAAATTCTTTCCTTCCCGAGGTACAAAACTAGAGAGTTTTGTTGTAAACCTTAAATTATTATGGTCTTTTTTCGTAAACCTTTAATTTTGGCAAATAACCTAGAACGATAATAATTTTGAAAACGGAGGTAATACATGATTAGATTACTTTACTCGTCAATGAGACTCCTGTCGCGCGAGTGCGTGATGCACGCACCAGGTCGCTGGGCGCACCACTGCACACAGGCCACAGCCACACGCATTCTTGCCATCCTAGGTGGGTCGCGTATCAGCTTGTAATCATAGCTCTTCTCTAAAGCAAAAGACACGGAGGCAGAGGCGGTATGTTGCTACCTCCGTTCTCTCCCAATAAATGGCTGAATCATTTGGTGATCATATTTGAGTGTACAAATAAATAAATTAACTATTATAAAATTAAAAAATAAATATAAAACACCATTTTTTATATAAAAAAAATCACACCGTTTAGGATCAGGAAGCTTGTCTCATTAATTTGTTGGCTATCATTCCTTCTATCTAGGAGTATGTGAGTACAATTCACTAATCCACTAAATGTTATGAACAAGTTCCCAACAAATAAACACTTGCACATTCACAACATAATGTAACACTTATTACAACAAAATGTTTAGGCAAATGTGGCACAAAAATAATCAAATCACTTCTCCTGGTTTGTGACCTTGATGGTATCTTGACCATGTTCCTCCATATTGCGCTGGAGAGAGGCCAGAGACGGGGGAGGGACTCATGGATGGTGTTTACATGGATTGGAGCTCATGATCTTAGATACCTTATCAGGATTTACACGACACAAGGGAAGACCAAGGTTCATTGGAGCAGCTCCTCTCGTTGAGATTCCCGCAGACATTAGTGGGGAGGACCGAAAGGTTGGCATGTGGGATGGACAACAAAAGTAAACAGATAAGGTTGAGTAAGGTTATCAATATACCGATTGTATCGTACGATTTTACGATTCTATATAGATAATGTATCTATATGGATTTTATGTATATGATTATACGATTGTGATCCTACTTGGAACTTTCGATGCCATTGGTGCCTACAGAGGCATCAAAGCGCTTCCTTGAGAGCTACATCAACACGCTACTGATGGTAAGACAACACCCAAAGGCGGATGTAAACACCGGCAAGCAAGTTGTTAGCTACTACCTCGGGGAAGAATTGCATCGACAAGGGAAGAAGGAAAAGGAACCCAGCGGGAAGAGATGGAGCCGTCCAAGTCTAGGATGGACCAATTTGATTGTTGTTGGATTCTACGATGCATGTGATGATACTGGAGGTTTGCTCTTATGCTCTTGAAGCTGAACTTATGGCCTGCAATGAGGGGGTGAAAATGGCACTGCAATGGACAATCCTACCAGTGATAATAGAGACCGATTGCCTCTCTGTAACTCAAATGTTGCAAGAAGGCAAAATGGACAGATCTGGTCTTGCTTTTGTGACCAGGGAGACGAAGGAGCTCCTGTCCGGAAGGTGGAATTTCACGATCCAGAAGATTCATAGAGATCAAAATAGAGTTAGTCATCAATTAGCAAATATCGCTCGAACCAAGAAGAAATTCCAAGATGTCTAATTTCTGGTCGGGCGATGATTGTAATCTCATTGAACAGATGATCCTTCAGGATCAATCTGAGATTCATGATTAATGAAATCCCTTTTTCCCCGCAAAAAAAAAAGATTATGACTTTAACAACATTGGTTGGGCTTGAGCATCCAAAAGTCAAGATGGTAGCCATATGATGAAAAGGTGAAACGGACGGTGGATTGCACACTCCATGTTGCCCGATCGCGAAGTACTATAATAAAGAAATATGTGCTAGCTCCAATGTGTAGTTCGATCATAATAAAATGTATTACACAATTAATTTCATTTTTAGGCAACACGTGGCACCACAAAATATATGTTGGGCCCGCTCAATTGATATGTGCATGCTAAACATCAAGCCTTTGGAAAAAAAAACTTAATATCCGGCCCATATACCAAAGCCCAAATGCTATTATTCTTTGCACGACTATACGATGTATATTAACCCTCATTTTATACCCTAGACAGGCAGTTATTGTTCCCATCTCCTATTTTCCATGCCGCCACCGCCGCCGCCACCACCACCACCACCGCTGTTCGCCTACTCCTCTCCAATGGATTCAGGTACTTCATCTCCATAATATCTACCACTTGAACTGTGAACTAATCTTGGTAGCCCACATCCTCCCTGCATCAATCGTTGTTACACCATTCTTATTGATTCCTTCCATAGATATAAGACGTTTTTTGCTAGTCGGATATTACTATGATTGTCTATGTCATTATCCCTCTCTGGATGGCACCGGACTCTTAGGTTTAATTTTAAGTAGTTGGTTATGCTCTTATTTTGGTCTATTCTTATAGTTTAGAGTTTTTTCTAGACCTTCTTACTAGGTTATTTCAATACAGGCAGGTTAGCATTTGTCCCAACTGCTATACTTTTGGTTGGGTGCACTATGTAAATATGGCGAAGATGTGTTTTTGATCTTCCATTTTCTAAAAAGGAACCACTATAAGTATGATGAATTCCAATATAATCACCCGGTGAAACTTGATTTGCGGTATGTAGAAGAAAACAATGATATCTCCTTTTGTTAAATACTATATTATAGCTATCTTTCTATTTCCCTTGCACGGTTGAAAAATGTAAATATGCTTTTTTTTCCTAGGAAATAAGGCACCACAACAAATTTACACAAACGTCACCTATCAGGAAGACTCAGATAACAAAATGAATCAATATTTAATCTGTTTTATGTCGTAGCTAACTCAAATTTTTTATTAATTTGTTCCTGAAACATATTATTTATTTTTCAGTTATATCTTTTATTTTAACCCATGTGTACAACCGAAGCAGTCGAACTGGATTGAAAAATTTGAAATGCTATACTACTGTAGCATATTACTATTTTTTTAAGAACAGCTTATATGAAATTTCACATATGTACAACACATTTTGGCCATCCTGGCTGGCTAAAACACTGGAACATACCGGATGTTGCCAACAGCAAGGCACATCTGGAATTTAGAGGACGCCATTATTTTCCCCATTAATGTAAATACATCTGCCAACTTTCGTGCACTAATATTACCCTTTTTTTCCTCAAATATAGTGAGCCCACAGATAAAATGCAAAACCATCCACGGTTTTACATGCAAAAGTAGCAATTATTTATTGTGTAATCTGGATGATCCTTGTTTTGAATGTAACAATCTCCCTTATCATCTTAGAGTGGCATAAACAGCATTCTTTCATGTCATAAATCTGTACTTCAAGAAACGTGATCACAAACCTGGTTGGCAATTAACCTTGTGATTAATATGTTTCATCGAATGAAATCTTTCAGATTCAGCATATCACCAACTTTTGATCTTTGTTTGGCCTATAAATACCATTGGCAAACAGGAGTCCCATTGCATCCAAAACTATTCCAAGCAAACTCTTCCAGTTTTCTGTTTTTCTCATCTTCTGCTTCCCCTGTGTAGAGCACAGTAGAGGTTCCATCAGGTGATTCTTTGCTCTTCTCTCTTTGTTTTTAATTCATCGTTGATGTAAGAGTAATCTTGAAAATTATTTGGTGGACTACGGGGAATAATTAATCTCTTTTCATTATATTAATCTGCAGCTTGCTCTCATGGCGTTCCAAACCCAAGGATCCAACCTGAGGGCATTGCTCGTTGAGGACATCAAAGTGAACCGCATGATCCTGTCGCAGATGCTGCGCAAATTCCAAGTTGAAACCACTGTGGTTCAGAATGGAAAAGAAGCTGTTGAACTATTCCTTGGAGGAGAAACATTTGATATTGTTTTGACTGACAATCTTATGCCCATCATGACTGGTCCTGAGGTATAACTTATAACTTACTCCAAAAGAATAATGTATTTCCTTTCATTCAGTTAACAAATAAATAATCAAGTAGTTCTGATACTAGTTAAACACTTCTAATTAATTTAAGAAGTTTTAATTCTTGTGTCACTGCTTGACAGGCAATATCCAAGATCCGTGCCATGGGTGCTACTGATGTGATGATTGTTGGAGTCTCAGTTGACGCCAACAGCATGGAAGAGTTCAAAGATGCTGGTGCTGATCTATGTGTGCCCAAGCTGAAGCTTGAGATTCTAGAGCACATCCTTCAGGAGACCAGGAGCAAGAAGAACAAGAGCAGCGCTTAGGTTTCAGAAGAAAATCAAGGGACTATCTGTCATCATTTAGTGTCATGGTTGTTATCTTATAAGAATTTAGGTTTCATGGTTGATTAATGCCTGGTTTGGTGTGAGTTCTGATCCTTTTAGTTATGGTTGTTGTCTTGTCATCATCTTTTTTAGAGTCATGGTTTGTCTTAAAATTTTAGATTCATGTTTGATTTATGCATGGTTTGGTTGTAATCCTCTCGGAACAAGTTAAAGTTATCAAGAATTTATTATTGATGCTCAGTTTATGGTGTCAACATTCCAGCAATGCTGTGTGAAAAATCATCAACTGAGAGTTTTGGCAGCGCACGATTTTTTTTGGCATATGTTAAATGCTGACAGGCAGGTGTATTAATTCAATACCCTTTTGAGATGCATGACAGCCCATGCATTCCATTCCTATATATGGTGCATTTATGGATTTATATAACCAAAATTTAGAGATTATTCATAAAAGAAAATAAATTTACTGATTTTGTAGGACCGGGATGGCGTCTATCCAACGGGGTTGAGTAATCGTGGTTACTTTTTCAAAACAACGAAGCAAACAAACAGCGGAAATAAAAACAACTAATATTACAGTTATTCTAATATTACTAAATAAACACTAAAGTAACCACCCTTATAGCAAAAGGCTTAGCACAGTAAAGAAACCATATGCTACAATGCCGAACAGTGTAGCGCAACAGTGCCGAACAGTTAAAACAACACGATGCATTTAATCAAAAACTTTAGAACTTCGCCAATTCAAATATGTTTGGTGTGAAACTTCAAACACAAGTTCTAGACATAAACTAGGTTCAATTTTAATCAATAAACATGAAAAGTAACAGATAAAATGTTGATTATTTTAGAGATTAATGTTTTTTTTTAAACCTAATTTTAGAGATTAATGTAGGCTTTTGGGGGGCGATTAGCACCAAGGCTAGGAGATAAGAGAGAAGGAGACTGGAGATTTTGGGGAATTTCTCACGATGCTTCTACATCCATCCCTTGCTCTATTCCATCTATATTTATACTATATTTTACATTCTAGTCCTTGTACACATATATAATTACACCCACTAACACTAACTCTCAAGATAGGGCATATACATTGTAAAGACCCATCTTGCTAAAAAAATGAGAAAGATTTCTCAGGTAACCCTTTTGTAAGAATATCATCAACTCGACTTGTTGAGCTCACATATGGCATGCATATTATCCCTCCATCCAACTTCTCTTTGATAAAGTGACAATCAATCTCTACATGCTTAGTCCAATCATGTTGCACGGGATTATTTACAATGTCTACAGCTGCTTTATTGTCACAATATAACATCAAAGGATAGCTCAAAAGAGACTACTCGTACACTTGCTAATGCCTTCTTGAAGATTTGTCATTCTTCTAGAGAGTGGGCGTTAGATTTGTGTATTGGGCACCATTGTCGTCGAGGTTCTTCTCTTTGAGGGTCTGGGCACTTAGTGGGTGGGTCCGTCTGCTCTGTGGACAGAACCTCAGTCCCAACTTTGCGTTTCCCCACTGGTGGAGAAATGCTTTTTAGTCCCGGTTCGTAACCCCCTTGTAGTCCCGGTTTTTCAACCGGGACTACGAATCCGGGACTAAAGATCGCTATCTTTAGTCCCGGTTCAAATAACCGGGACTAAAAATCACCAATCGGGACTAAAGATGGGAGCATCTTTAGTCCCGGTTGGTAACACCAACCGGGACTAAAGATATTTTTTCTTTTTTTTCTGCTTTTAATATTGAATATTGATTTCACACCATCCCCTCCCATATCCAAATCATCACATATTACAGAACATCTCCAAATCCTCAAACAAATCATCTCCAAATACATCACAAACTCTTAAAAAAATTACATCACAGGGTTCTAAAAAATTCATCACAGATTCACATCTCACACAAAAATACATCACAGATTCACATCTCAAAAAAAAAAGAAAAAAAATCCGGCCGGCGGCCACTGCCGCCTCCCCTCCTCCCCTCCACGCCGGCCGGCCAGCGCCGAGCCAGTCGCCGCCGAGCGGCCGCCCACCGCAGCCGCCGCCTCCGCGCAGCCTCCTATCACGCCCAGAAATTTAGCCCAAATTTCCAGACTATTTTGTGTATTAAATCCCTGTCCAGGACCAGCCAGGGTACACAAACCGACAAGTAATATACAGTTCCAAACGTAAATAAAGCGTAAAATACTTACAGAAGAGGCACTTAGTCCTCACACCGAAACAAAAGCAGCAGCAGCGGAAAAGGCGATCCTAGCGGGGCTTCAGCTCCACTCCACAGGCAAAACTCAACTGGGGTATGAGCCTTGGTCCTTTAACTCCATCTTCAGCTCAGAAGCACTACACTTCTGAAAGGGGGAATAATAGCAAGGCTGAGTACAACCACCGTACTCAGCAAGCCACACCAATGATGCAGACGTGCAAGGGGATACAAGGATGGTTTGTGGCTATTTGCATAAAGGCGGTTGTAAAACATTTTATTGAGCAAAACAGTAAAACTGTTGAGTAATTAAAGTAACTTTAAATCTCCACTGATCAACGCTACACCACGTTGAACAGGCCCAACCAACCCACCTGAACTACAGTGCATTGAGTCGATTTATTAAGGTGGGACTAATCACGGTGAATCTGGTCGACCGCCCATAACCGCGGGCACGGCTATTCGAATAGTTTTACTCTGATCAGAGGCGTACAACTGTACCCACAAGACACAGCCCCACGACACGTTTCCGTGCGCCGACATGCCACCACGACATACCGGAAAGAGGCCGTGACAGGACCCTTCGCATAACCCCCTCTAACCAAGCACACCACACCTCAGGTTTCACCCCCACTCCTCGCAAGGCAGCGGGCAGTCCCCTCTCGTGCCTAGGTGAATCCGGAAGCCGCATAGGCCGTCGCAGGGCCCATCCAAACTCCATCACGCCCACCCTTGCCTGGATGCGTCGGCTAGAGGAAAGCTACACTACAAGCCCAGCCGTTGCCCACGCTGGCTTGTGGTAAGTACGATAAGTTCTTCCAGGGCATCCCGCGAACCGGTCCTTAACTGCCATGGGTGCGACCAGCAAAACCATGCACCCACAGCCCACCATTCAGTTGCATTTTAGTTGGATAATTACGACCATGAAGCATGGCCAGATGTCTCGAGCACGCAGCTCAATCTGATACTAAAAAGGTCTAATACTGTAATTATCCCATCAACTGAGCTAGTGGTAATTAAGCATGGCTAAGCATATAGTTCTAGCTAGGTCACATAAGTAACATGAGCTAGTCGATTCATTACCCAAAGTTGACAAAGAACAGATATCAAGTAAACATAGCACAAGCGAACAGATAGGTAATACCCGGATCCCATGTAATTAGCAAAATATGCATATTTATTTGCAAACAGTAAAACATTTGTAAATTGGGATCAACATGCTCAAGGGGAATGTGTGACTTGCCTTGCTTCTTCAAACAATCTTCCGAACTCTTTTCCTCGCGACCGCGGACTTCCGAAACGACGGATTCTACACGCTGGCACGCAAAACGAGGAAAAACTCTAATAAAAACCAAGAAAAAAGTACATAAAAAGTAAACAAACATGTAGAGCTCAATTTTAGATGAATTTTGCAAGTTGAACGGCTCAATTCGGAGTTCGAATGAATTAGATATGAATTTTACAAGTTTTGAGCCATTTAAATGAATTTCTAGAATTAAACTCGATTTATTGCGCAATTATTATTTATTTTTACAAAGGAAATGGACCTCGCTGACGTCATCAAGGGGGAGGGGCGGCGCCGGCAAGCGGGCCCCACCGGTCAGCGGCACAAGGGCGCCGGTCCACCGTGGACCGGGACCACCGAGGCGGTCCACCGCCGGTCCACGGGAACCGACGGCCCGGATCGGCCCAAAGCCGATCGGACGGCCACGAGGCGGCGCGGCTGGGGCACGGGCACGGCATGAAGCCGGCTCGGCCGAGACATGACGCGGCGGCGGCAAGGGGAAGGCGGCAAGGGGGAGGCGGCAACCGGCTGCAGCAGCCGGCGACGTGGAACGGCGGCGGGCGGCCGGAGGACAGCGGCGCGCACGGGGACGGCGACGCACCCCAAGAGGCGGCGGTCGGCAAGAAAGGGGGACGGGAAAAAAAAGAAGGGAGGAGAGATCCTCACCGGAAGCGGCGGCCGACGCGGAGGAAGAGGACGGCGACGACGATTGCCCAATGGCGGCTTGCGAGGACGGAGGGCGGACGGGGTCGCCCTTGACCTTCAGAAGGAGAGGAGGGAGTTAGGGAGGGGAGGACCGATGCGGGGTGACTGGAAACGAAGGCCGATGGCGATGACAAGAGGTAGAGCTCACCGGCGACCGAGGAAGGAGGAGCTCCGGCGGATTTCCGGCGAAGAGGGGCGGCGGCCGAGGTCCTCCTCGTCCTTGCGGAGCTGAGGGAGGCAACGGCGCGAGTCGACGTCGACCGAAGCGGCGGCGCGACGCGGCTGGAGTCGGCAGCGGCGGCGGAGAGAGGTGGTTCGCGTGGCTACGGCGCTACGGAGGTGGAGAGGGGAAATGGAGCGGTGGCCGAGTTTGCCCGGGCGGCGGCAAAGCTGGCGGTGGCGGCGGAGCAGTGCGGCGGCGACCCTAGCGACGGGAAACGGCGGCCGGAGTTCGCCGGAGTGTGGCGGCGCGTGGGAGTGGCGTGAGGAGAGCGAGGGAGGGCGCGGCGGCTTGGGGAAAATTGGGGAAATGAGAGAGGAGACCACGGGGATCGTTTTTATTGGCTCGGGGCGGTGGGATCATGGCCGCGGAGGACGGAATCGACCGGCAACGGTCTTCGGAGTGGGCTCCGGCGACGTGGGCGAAGTGGGGTGGTTCGGCGCCGGTTTTGGAGGGGGGAAAGTGGGGGAGGAGAGTGGAGGAGGTGGGGCGACGCGGTCCCGCGGTCGGGGCGAGCGCGCGGGTGGAGGAGGAGGCGGAATCGGCGGCGACGTGGGGAGGCCGTGGCGGCGGTTTCGGCTGAGGGAGCCGGAGGTTAGGGATGGCCCTGACAGGTGGGGCCCACCTGTCGGCGGCTCGGGGGGAAGGAGAGAGGAGGAGACGGTTGGGGGAGAAGATGACAGGTGGGGCCTCGGGTCCCACCTGTCGGAGAGAGAGGGAGGGAGAGGCCGGCTGGGGAGACAAAGCAGACTTGAGGGAGAGAGAGAGCCGAGCGGGCCGAGGGAGAAGGCCGGCCCGAGAGGGAGAGAGGGGGGGGGGGAATTGGGCCG